GGTGGGACGGAAGGGCGAACCAAGTGCCCTGTGGTTGTGGAGCCCCGTGCCCTGATGGGGAGCTGGGAGCTGCACAGGCACAGACCAGCACTGTGCCTTGCACCCCATGGTGCCACTGCTCTACAGAGTCAGCTCCGAAAACAGGGCCTGAACGTCAACATTTTATTGCTAGGTTAATGGACAGATCAGATATACAATGACAAAGAAATTATTTAAATAAACAACCTAACCTGTCCTATAAAATTTTTCCTTCTATCTTTTTTTTTCTTTTTAATCTTTGTGTTATTTCCCACTTGCACGAGCTTACAGCCTTTCTGCTCTTTCAAAACTCTCTTCCCTAATATGCCTTTCCCCTCTGGGGTAAGCCTCAGCAGGATGGCTGTGCAGGCCCAGCAGGTTTAAGGGCCTTCTTGAAAATGCCTTGGAATTTGGTGTTTTCCAAGGTCTGTAACGGTAAAAATAAAGGGCTGTCTTATTGTGTATGCAATACTACTACAGGACATGAGAAGTTTACCTCCTGCATCAATTTTCTAAATTGCAAAGCAAGCTAGCTTACCATTTCCTATTAGATTCATCGATTGTCTCTATACTGGTTTGGCAATGCTGTAAGAAGATAAAACTACACTAGACAGTAATGTGTACAACAAGCATTTAAAGATAATTCTTACATGCTGCAGGCTAGGTGACACAATTTAGGATCAAAGAAAATTCTTAAATGTATCGTAGGCTTCTTAGATTGAGCTTGTGTCCTGAAGTGCAGGAGCTTAACAATATATTCTCTTTTATGGGAGAAGGTACAATGGTGACCAGTTATTATTAATCCTCCTTGCACTTTCCAGTAAATCTTCTTGTTTCAGATCTTTTGATGCATTTCAGCCAGACAGGGTGAAATATTCCCTGTGCAGCTGTGCCAGGTTGAGATTGGTTTTGTTCGATTTCACACACTTTAGCCTGCAGAGGTCAGTACAAAAGCCATTGTTTTACTTACATTAAAAGTGTTTTCATGTCTTTTGTTCACACTTCTCTCCCCTCTCCCCTTGCCTCCACAACCCCCCCGCTTAAAGAGGGCATATTGACTGCATGGAGCAGTAATGTGAGCGCAGGAAGAGGGAATACTCCTGAGCATCTCTTCCTGTGATGAGGCACTCAGGTTGGATCAAGTGAGAGGCTGTAAAAGATCTGCATTTGTATGACTGCAACTGAACATGCTGAACATTTACGCTCTGTTTCTGGAAGCTCCAACCCTTGCCATGCTGCACTGTGCATTTGCCTCCTCCCACCACCACGAAAAAACAGTGAAACAAAATGTCCTGCCTTCTGGACGTACTCATGCTAAGATTCCACTCACTGTGTGTCTGTGGGAGGCTTTGAAAACGAAGGAGCTAAGGAGCCCAAAAGCCTTTGTGGACTGTGAGTCGCCAAGTGAAATGAGTCCCAGAAAAACACGGCATGCCAGCACAGCTTTCTCAAGATGAAATGGCAACTCAGCAAGTCCGTTTAAAGAGAAAGACTAACTTAAGAGTACCTGGAGATAATTTTGTAACTGGCAAGACAAAAAAGCAGATGGTTCCTTAAGCCTTGGTAAGGGAACAGACACATGTTACTAGAGGTAGCTGAGAAATCTGATTCCCAGTTAAAAACCTGTATGTAGGGATCCAGTACGGAGGGAGAGAGGACGCATAACAGGAACAGGCTCCTGTAAAGGAAGCAGGGAGAAGGTACTAGGGGATGTTGGGTTGCCTGACACTTTGTATTGGAATAAAATGGAGCCATTTTGAGAGATCCTTGGCCCCGGTGGCTGCCTGGACACTGCTTAGAGTGGATGCCTGTGAGAGCAGCCTAGAAGCATGGACTGCCAAAACATGTTAAAAAGATAAATAAAAAATACTTGTTTGGAGATATTTAAAAACAGCCATTCATTTCTGAGGGCAGACAGCTGGAGGAAAATTGAATGCAAATACATTAAAATTACAAGGGGGGAAGCAGGTGGCTTACGCATTATTATGGAGTCCTGGCCACTCAGTGAGTCTTGCCAGTTGGCCTTCCTATCAACTCAGATTTTGCTACGCAACTTATGTTGACAACTAAATCCTTACTCACTCTGATTCAAAATGCACTAGAATGGTGTCCAGACCTGGGGTCTCAACCATAAATTTAAAATCATTTGTATGTGAAGACCGAGGCAGCAGCTAAGCATCACTGACAAACCTGGAGCTAATTACCCACAATGAACTTATCATTTCCTGTGGTCCCTTCTGCAACACTGATCCTTCTCATGCCACTGCAGCCCACAAGAAGCATGGGAGAAGAGGTAAGCCTTGCTGTGTGGCTCAAACTCTGTTTGAAGTGTGTGTGAAAAGCAACACAACAGACCCGCAGGCTGCAAGCCTGGCTTCAGCCTCCTTTACATTGAGTAGGGTCCATTTGAAGCAGTGGCTGGAGAAGGTGTTTCCTGAACCCTTCGCAAGACCAGCATCTTCAATGTCACTGGTTATTTTTTCTGCACATAGTACAGAAAGGAACATTGTTTCCTTAGGGAAGCCATTGTACAGGCACTGTACAGGAGTGCTACTCTTCAAACTGATTGACCCTCATAGACCAAAGTAACATTTGTGGTCAAGAACAAGGCTAATGATCACAGCAAGATCCATATCCAAAAGTTACAATCTCACAGCTGGGGGGAAAAAAAAAAAAAAAAGATTAAAAAGGCTCTCCTAAAAAATGCTGCTATATCATCATCCTGTAACAGCCAGGATCTCATAACATCGCCAAGCAGCAAACTCTACCAATAAATATCCCCACAAGCTTCAATAAAAGGAGCAGATATCGCTCTCTCCCCATCTCTCCTGATGGAGCTGTTCCATTTTTTATACATATTTAAATATTCATTTGACAAGAGGAAGAGACTGACAGTAGCTTGGTACTGAAGACACTCGCGAGGGATCTCTCAGACCCAGATTCAAGCTCTCTCACAGAATAATACAAAGTATTTCTCTAGGGTTTGCATCAGGTTTTTCTTCTCTGTTCCAGGACATGTTGCTGGTCAAGAACAGAGAGAAAGGAGGAGACTTGCCCTGGGACAGTGCACAGTCCAGTTATAGGGTGTTCACTTGGGAAATGAAGGAGATGCTCTTAGCCTAAGTGAGTGCCTTAACTAACGGCTGTTGGGGTAAAGTTCCCTCACACTTTCACAATGCCTTCATCCCTCCATGGGAAAAAAAGAAAGTCCCCCTGGCCCAGAGAGGATCACTACCATCAAAGCCCAATTCTATGAAACATTTTGAGAGGCTGGAATTTTCTGATGGAAAATGTGTTCCACTGGAAAGTTCCCAACCAGCTCTGTTTAAAACAGTGCTGGCTGTAATTGCTGATAGTTTAATTCAACCAAGTAAGATAGAGTTCAAACCATCATGATTGCACATAGTATCTTTAGAATGCAGCAGTGTGCTTTGTTATTGAAGTGAAGACCAGTGTTACTAAACAATTTATGTTCACTGAAACTCTGTTGGTAATGCAGCTGGGACAGACATTTTTCAAGAGGACTTTCTGACCTCTGTGTCAGCACCAGATGTAGCTGAAGGTTTTGAATTGACTAATAGATCCTGTATTAACAGACTTCCCTGGTTAATTCTTTTGCTCTACTTTAGGAAGGAGAAAGAAAGAGTGGCTTGGCTTGCTCTAGTCCTCAAGATATACTAGTTAAACTGACAGCACAACATTGCATCAAGGCTCATATAAGTTTGACTTGGCCTTGTAAATGTAAACTAGTTTCATTTTTAAAACTAACTCAATTAACTCTATATCTGTACACTAATTTAGATGGATGCCACTTTTCTGTTTAGGAATTGGAATTCACTGGATTAGCAGAGGAGAGGTTGAAGTAACATAAAGGCAAAATTGATCACAGCATGGGTTTTCTACGGTATTACCTCCATCCTTATCCATTCCATCTCCAGGACATATGAAAATGGTTCTTATGCAAACTGAATCGAAACCAACTCGAGTGACTCAGAGAAACCTACAGATCCCAAAGAGCTGGAAATTCACTGAATTTTAATTCTATCAAGAAGCTCAGAAATGTAGACTTCACTGGTTCTTTATTATTTTGATAATTTTTTTTAACTGGGACAAAAATATCTAAGCTCAAGTCTAGCCTTATAGTGCTTCTTTAAAGATTAAAAAGCAATAAGATAATAAAGAATGCAAATGTTCAGACAAATGCTCACAGGGAGATGCTGTTTGAAGTAACAGTTTTCTCTCTCCTTCTGCTGCAGCTGGGTTGCTTTTAATTATTAACAAGGAAAATAACAGGTTGAACAGATGTGGATGCAAGTTCATTTTCACCATCAGTTGACTTCTGCAACTTTCACACCAACACTGGCTTTGAGAACATGGATAAGTTTACACTAACGATGATTAAGAGTAATGCTTATAATTCTGAATATTAAATAGAGCATAGGGATAGTATGAAGGGTGCTTTTGGATCACAATCATGAGGACTGTCACAAAACACTACCTGAAAAACTAGTGTCGAATCCCCAGCTTTCACACACACATCCCAGGGGCCTTAGACAAGTACATGTGATTTACAACCACTCAGACATAGATTTCTGGTCCCCTTTCCCAAAAGGCTACAATAGCACCTCAGTTTGAACATAATGCAGAGCAACTAAACATAGGGGCGTGAGATCCCCATCACATGCACGGAGAGATGGGAGAAGCTGCAAATGGAGCTTGGTTACTCTGTCACTGCCTGACCTGCCTCAGAGGTAGAGGGAGTTGAGTACAGGGCTGCCTTTAGAGCAGGAGAGAAAATAAGAAGTAACATGTCAATATCCATCTGAGGCTTAGATCTAACGGATCATTTCCACCTTTTCTGCTACACGTGAGATGAAAAACTGTTACATACCTTACTATTCAGCAGTCAACAGTCAACCAAGAGAGGATGGCAAAGAGAGGGACATATACAGATAGATGTGTACCTGCAGTCAATCACTTACTTTGGATTTTCGGCCCCTGGCTTCTTTCTCCGGAATATGTTGAGGAAAGTGTTGGACTTGCAAGGTGCCTTGCCATCCCCGACATGCATACGCACCACATCTGAGGTGGTGAAGGCACTGCGGACGTTCCTCTCAGGCTTGGCGATGATGATGTACATCTTAGGAGTGAACATGCACCCCAGTGCCACTGTCACGCTCAGGCTCACTGCAAAACAGGTGGTGATGATCTTGTAGTTGCTCCCGAAATAGATAGGCACAAAGGCCAGCCAGATGATACAAGTGGTGTACATGGTGAATGCAATGTACTTGGCCTCATTGAAATTGGCAGGCACATTGCGAGTCTTGAAGGCATAGTACGTGCAGCTCATGATGAGGAGTCCATTGTAGCCCACAGGAGCCACGACGCCTAGGTTGCTGGTGTTGCAGATAAGGTAAACTTCCTTAATGCTGGGGTAGGAGAGGATGGGCATTGGGGGCTCCAGGATGATCAGTGTGATCACCAGTGTCAGCTGCACGCTGATCAAAATGGAGGCAATGACCACTTGGGCCCATGCGCTCATGAAACGTGGTTTGCGGGTACAGATCTTCTTTTTGCTGCCTGCCAGGATGCGTGCAATGCGGTTGGTTTTGGTCACAAGGGCAGAATAGCACATGGCAGAAGAGAGACCCACCAGAAGGCGCTGGAGGTAGCAGGATGTTGTGGTGGGTTTAGCTATAAGGGTGAAAGGGCAGACGTAACCCAGAAAGATGCCAGCAAGGATAATGTAGCAGAGCTCCCGGCTGGAGGATTTGACAACAGGGGTGTCCCTGTAGAGCACAAAGATAAGGGTGACAAACATGGTGACCAGGATCCCCAGGCAGGAAAAGACCACAGCCACAATAGACTCTATATTGCTCCACTGGAGGTACTTTACAGGGATGGGTTCACAGCCTGCAGTGTACAGAAAAGAAACAGAGTGTTAGAAAGGTAGCTGCTTGAAGAAAGAACTTTTTTTTCTGGCTCCCAATATAATCCAAACATTAGCTTATGCCTGTGTGCCGTGGATTATTAAAACCATTTTACAAAGGAGTGAACTGCAGCATGGAAAAGTTTGGATGAAATATGTTCAAAAAACAGCCACCAATTTTGGGTGTCCCAAACATTTGCTCATGATGCTACAAAGGGAAATGAGATTTGGAAATTTTTTAGTAATTTTTCTTGAGATACCTGCTGACAAGCCCAGCATATCAAAGGCAGAGCTGGGAACAGAACCCAGATAAACTCAGCACCATCCCTTCATTTCAGCAGGGAAAAGATTGTTACAAATCAAAATGGGTAGCTTTTTGACCTCCTCAGACTAACTTATTTTAATCTTTATCAAAATCACTATAACTTGTCCCACTACATTTTTGTGAGGGTGATTTTATAAATAATAGAAGTTAATCAGAGATCTATAGGCAGAAAAACAGTAACAAATCCAAAGTTGTAATGGAACTGGACCATCTGTACCTTCTTAGTATATTTCTGCTTTTTTTCTCTTAGCATTACCTTATTCTCATTTTGTCAAACCTTCCGCTCATTGTTTTTCCACTAAATAATGTAATTTAATTCTTATGGAAAAGTCAAACCCACAAAATATGCATGCCTTCAAAAAATAACTGGAAAGGCTCTCCTTTATGACTAGTACAGATGTGCAAACATAAGTATCAGTTAACTGCTCTCTCCCACACTCAAGTTAAAGGAGTCTCTGGCTACCTTCCTCACTGTGCTGAAGATGTAATACCAGCAATAAACATTACAGAGAAAATAAAATCCTCTGTGTTAATAGGATGTTACGGTTGTGAAGCTGAGTTACTGAAAACCTTCATTCTGGCATTTCCTAATTTCTGTTCTTGACTTAATAGTGCCAAAATGCTTTTAACATGTTTCTGTATCCCAAGGTAAGCATCCATGGCCTCTTCGACTTCTTGTTTCTGTCCTCCTCCAGTTTCCCTTGGACCCAGCTCACCTTTTGTGCCTTTCCCCCACCTCTCAAATATCTTTCCTCCCAGTCCCTCATTGTCCCATCTCAGTTCCCCTTCAAGTTCATTTTTTTCCTAGCCAGTCAGCTCTCTACCCAAATGTCTCCATTATGAACATTGCTGGTCCAGCTTTTCACATCCTGGACCAGCTGCTCATCACCTCTGCCTGTCTGGGTTGTTGGACGTGGCTGAGAAGAGCAGGGAAAAGGCGGTAGTGTCAGCGACCTTGTAAGAGAGGCATTTTTTTCCTTTCAGTTTTGCTGCTAAATCTTAGCAAGGGCCCTGATATTGTGATGAGCAAAAGTCATGCTCAGCCCCTTCCTCCTCAGTATGGAGTATATCTGCAGAAACCAACCTCTATGAAATAAAAGCTTCTGAGGCCCACAGTTTTGCTCAATTTATATGTATCTTCCACAGGGTGACACAAAATTACCAACTGATACCTCTACCAAAATGTGAAGTCCTTCCTTCCAAATACAGGAGAAATAAGCAGAAGTCTGGGTCAGGCTTGAACAGTTTTGCTATAACCTCATTTTGAAAAATAGAAGAAGAAAGAATGTTTTTTGTTGAAATTAAAAAAAATCAGCCCGAGGCAAAGTCCTGACATGGAAATTTCTGCTTGAATTTTTAATGTCTGCCAATGTCACATGAACTGAAAGAATGTCTTATAATTCTGTACTCTTTGTCTCTAAGAGTACTGGGCTGACTTAACTACAGGTAATGCTGTCTACTTAACTACATGTAATGATGTTACAGGTACCTGTAACATCAAAAACAATAGAAACAATAGTATGTGCAACTGGAGGTCTTATTTTATAAAGAAAAAGAATTCTGTTTTGCTCAAAGTGGTCTATTCAAGACTCAGACAGGTGAGGAAACCCATTCTTCCAAACAGTATTTTTATAGTGAAATATGAAGGAAAAGCTTTTTATTAGAAGTGGGAACCTCTGGCCATTGGCAGCAACAGCCCTGAGTGGAAGTTGGCTCCTTCTTTGGTTTAATAAAAGACTAAGAATCAGAAGCTCCTGCTCCTTGATTAATACATGCAAAACTCCACAGAAGCCAGTCTGTGGTTGCTGGAAGAGTTAAGTTTCCATGTGGGCTTTAAGCTTAGCAACATCATTATTCCATCTTAAATGATATTTTCAGAGCTTTAGACCTGATTCAGCACGGTAGTCAAGCTATCGATTGCTTTAAGCTTATCCTGTGTAAGGTCTTAGAAATCTGTTTCGTTAAATCAGTATAATTCCTGTGCACCAGCAGGCCCCAAGAGCCGCATATGCTACAAACATTGCAAAAAGCTGCCTGCACTGCTTTTATCAGCAAACAGCTGTTGGTTGTCAGCACCTGTGAAGGTGGGTCATTTCCTAGTTAGGAGAAAGTAGGCTAGGGAACCTTGTTGAGACTGGGGGAGGATACCCAGGAAATGGTCTACTTACAGGTTTAAAAAAACCCCACAACACAAAAATCCCCCCAAACAACTTACCCAAACCTCAAAAAATCAGACAATTAGTGGCAATGGCTTCACAGTTAAGAGTTTCTAGTGAAAAGCTGTTTGGTAGCTTTCATCTACTATTTTCCCTGCACTTTAACCATGAATCACTTCCTAGAGCAGAAGGCTAATCGATTTTTAAATTTTTTTTTTTTTAAATTATATTCATACTGCAAGGCCGAGAAGACAATCCAGGATGTTTTCTGAGGTCCTTAACACATCCCAGGTAACTGATGGCCCCAAACCTTTATGATTCATTTCATAATAACTCTATAAAATTTCCTGTCCTATCTGTTTTATTGCTTATTTAAGATGATTTATGTAAACTGGGTTTACTAGCTTGACATTCATTCTTCTTATGTTAGATTCTGATACTATAAAAGATATCTCTTCTTCTTGGTACAAGGCCTTAAGATATTGGTTTTAGTGACTATTTGTCAGGTCAGGTTTTTATCATCTGTGGTGAGAAATCCTTTGTGCCTGCTGACTCCACTTCACTGAACACATATTTAGGGGAAACAATCTAAAAAAAAATTTGTACATTTAAATATGAAATTAAAATGTCAGGAAAGGATTGCTGAGCAATGGAGACTGCTTTCAAATGGAGAGAATGAGCACCTTGAAAAGCATGTCTTAGGAAATGGGTTAGTATGGGCTTCAAGTTTCCTAAAGGGATTAAGGATTTTGGAGCTTCCATCTGTGATGGAAAATGGGGCTAAAACTACATACATGTTTAGCATTTAAGATTTAAGGCAAAGGGAAAAACAATCTGAAATGTGAGATGTTAACGTCTGTGTCTGGATGCTATGGTGACTGTCAGGGTATGAATACAACACGTAAAAGCAAGCTATAAAAACACATTTGATGGGAGAAATCCTGGCAAGAAAAGAGAATTCCAAGTTAAATGGTACCAATGGTGACTCCCACAAAGTTCAAGAGCCAGAGTTTATCTAGCTCAATCTCCCTTTTCTAAAGGTTAGGATGGCATCAGCTTCTTTTCACAACTTTGTACTTTGGGGTTAAAAAAAGAAGTTTTTTCCTCAATAAGACAGAGTGAAGAAGCTGTGCAGCAGCAGATTGCCGTTTTGATGTTCTCTAGGAAATCAGTCGATGGCTATGCTGACATTTGGCTGATGCTACTGTGATTTTAGAACAGCAGCAGTCCAGTCTCCTTGCTGAGAAGAAACACAAATCAGCAGGTCATCTACTGATTTCATTAAAAGTTAATAGATTGCAACATGTCCCTGAGATTTTTTCCAGCACTGATGCTTTCCTCAACTCCTTTCAGCAGTGCCTGTCATTTTGAAACACCTCCTTTTGAGCTATTTTGGGCAACTGGTAACACTGAACCATATTCGCTCAAGTGCACATTGATCTCTCGCTATGTTCTTGTTCGGCCTTATTGATTAAAAAGAAGTCCCAGTTTTCTTCCCTGAATAGTAGACACAAACAATTCTGTGAACCTCCAAGACTAATAGAACTCAGTTGTCTATGGATATCTGCTTTAAAATTAGCAGACACTGGTGTCCTAGGAGGTGGGAGTTGAATATGAGCTTTTCCAATCGTCAGGACATTTATGAAGGGTGCTGTGAGTTTTCTGGTGTCTAGTAACACAAGATGTTTTTCCCACAATTGAGGCCCTTACAGAAGGTATTGTTCAAGAACTTCTCTTCCTACAACCCACTTACTTGAAACTTGAAGGAACTGAATGATCACTGAGATTTCTGTATCCTGACGAATCTGTTTAAAGTAGGTTCAGTTGCACACTGGGGCAGGGGGTTTTGGGGTGAGAGGTGTGGGATATAGACAGATACACACACATCTGGGACATGACCATAGCTTATTTTCCATAGAAAACCAAGATAGACTATGGGTCAATTTTCCCAATTTATTGTGATTAATAATATATTTTTAGTTGGAGAAGTGGCCAGCTTTCCCTCTCAAAATAAATCCTCTGAAAGCTCACTTGGCTTCAGTGACTAGCTTAACAGTGTCTCTTGGAACTATTTGATCAAGGTTTGAGTACTTTGCCTATGTGTTAAATGCTGCAGCAACATCTAGTTGCCAGCCATCATATTAAAGGACAAAGATGTGATAAGTTGCACATTTGATCTTCAGCTAGGTAGTCAGATTGTTTCTCTGACTAGGAATGATGCTCTGCTGAATACTGGCAGCCAAGCTTTGCAGATGCGGCACGGGGCAGAAGTGCCAGTAGTCTTTTACAGTGATACAAAGCAAACCCCAAGGTCAAGGTGGTGCTTCTCAGTGCATTAAATCTATTTTCTTGGGGTAATGGTTACTGCAAAGCCCAGAGCAGGTGTGGAGGTTGACCTTGATAGGTACAAAATAACAGAAAGATGCCATAGCATACAACTCATCCAAAGCATATACACAGGGGAGACCAATTCTAGCTGTTTCCCTTTTTTCTGCCAGCCTTTCTTAGGATTTTGTTGATGTTCCTCTTGTTTGCGGGTGCAGTGAGAATGATCTTTATTCCAAATGAAAGTTTGGTAGTCAGTTACTGAATGGCCTGAAATGCCAGATAAAGTATTACTAATTGCATGGTAGAATGATCAGAAAGAGTATCAAGTCAACCTGACAAGGATGCACTGAGCTCTTGTGATAATCACTGCTAAAATTGCAGCAAATGCTGCTAAGTTCATTAGTAGTCTTAACAGCTTTATCAATGCTTATGCTAACTGAAGGGGAGGAACAGACAACGTCATTTCTTCTTGGTAGAAATTTTGCCGTCTTTATTGTCACTGCTGTTGAGCTGAGCCAAAAGATATAGCATTTTTCACTCACCCTAAACTGCGTTGGGATGTGTGTTTAAATATGTACCTTTAATATCTCTGCATGCTGCCACCTTACTCTCCACCACACACTGTTCTCCTTGTGCCCTGTAAAATGGGAATGCGTTTGGAGGGACACATCCCTACCTGTCAGGTCAGCATTCGGCCACCAGCCAAGCTCACAGGCTTTACACGTGAATTCATCCTGAACAAATTCATTCTCCTTGCAAGCAGTGCAAATCCAGCAGCAACTCACTTCTCCTTTCCTGATCACCTGTAATGCAAAAGACATCCTCAGCTATGATCCTCTATAAGACAACACAGAAGCCCCCCCAGCAAACAGATACCACCTGCACTGTTTAAAATATGGAGGGATTCCTGTGTATGGCACATTTCAAACAACCAGAAAACATGAATCCTGATTCTGTATCACCTACCCCTTTATATTAAAATTTGTGCTTAGGAGTTCAAGGATAATCTCTGGGGACAATTCTATTTTGTCTAGGGGGGAGCAGTTCTGAGTTAGAAGTATAAAACCATTTTCCCCTTGGTACAGAGGCACGGTGAGTGTTACATTTTCAATCAAACTTGAGAAGAGGTTTAATCTCAGAGATGGTTCAGGTCAGGACAAGTAGCTAAGCCCACACTTCCTATCTATTACATAGTAAAAAAGCAGTAAACAAAGTCAAAGATGAGAAAAAAGAGTGATTCATGCATATATATATATATATACACACACACAAGCACAATGTGCACACACAAAAATTCCAATCTACATGGAAGTCTCTTTGGGGCTCATTACACTAGTGTAAATAGTAATTCAAATAAGAGCAAATTAAAAAATACACTGCTAAAAGGATGTAATGGGTCCTAGTAGAAAATAAAACCAGTATGTGGTGACCAAGAGCATGCTTCGGAACAGCTCTTTTGGAGACAGATGTCCCTGAAAGCTGTATCTTTTGCTGCTGCGAAGGCTGCTAAGTGTAATGATTCAATGTTCAAAAGATGGTTTCCTCATCTTGACTCCTAATTTCATTACGCTGAGGCTGAAAGAAAGATTAAGGATATCTCCACCTCATGGGGCTCCAACAAAGACTCTGGCTCTGTTTGCCAGAAAGGAGGAATCCAGCCGTCTCTCCAGGATCTTCCTATCCATCTATATGCAGAGCTAACTGCAGTGGTGAAATAAAAAATGTTTATTTTACTGAATGCTGGCTTTGTGGACTTTTTTTGTTAACATTTCCTCCTGCAGTCTGTGGAGAGAGTCCAATAGACTTCAATGGGAGCTGAAGTTGGCATTTTGTATGCATGGTGTTTACATATACACACATACACAAACTGCACAATCTCAAAAACAGGGAAAAGATGTTTTGGAGGGTAGTAAATACCGATAATGTTTCCCCTCCAAGATTGTTGGAGTATGTCACTACGCCTTTGCCAAATCATCAATCACTTATTGCTTAGAATAGCAATATAGAATTAAAAAGCTGCAAATGTGCTTATTAAATGAAATTAGAAAGGAAAGTCTGCTCTAAGGTGATTTTCCTGAGTGGGCTTCTTGCCATTTTAAACTTACTGCATCCATACCATTTTGATAGTGGTGGAACATATCTTTATGTCATCCAGACATTGCAGGTGGCAAATTATTTGTAGCTTGATACAAGTGCTACTGTTTGGTAAACACAGAGTGATTTCATTTGTGTTTCCATACCTCCTGTTGTGAACATGAGACACAAATAGGCTTGTTTTTCCCCTTTTTCTTACAGGTGTTATTGCTTGAACAAAATACTGGATTCCCATGGGTCACGTTATTTTCAGGAGCAGCCCCCAAGTGAATCCCAGCCACTGAACGTTGTAGGCAACGACTAAGTGAAAATCTTGTTCTTCTCGCATAAGGTGAAATTCAAATCCTGTCACAGTAGAAGATTCTCCATCACTACAAAGGGCAATTTTAGAAAACATGGGCCTGTATATGGGATTGTAAAAGTAAGATGTTAATCTAGGAGTCTTTCTATACTTTGCCTTTCCTGAAGAAAAGGAAGTCCTATCCCTTAGCTTGAAAGAAGCTTGCTTGGGTTTAAGGCAAAAACACTGACTGGTTATTCACATTTCTGTAGCAGAAAGTAAGTGTCTGAGGCACACCTTAATCTGGCCCTTCAAGCAAGGCTCACTGCACACCGATCGGACCATTCCACTCTTATTCATTTGAATCCTGTAGTCGTCGATGTTGAGCACGCCCTCGTGCCAGGTCCCAATGAGGACGTAGTCGTAGCGGTTGGGCTCTATGTATTGCAGGTTCATGATGTCATACCTGCAAGGGAAAAAAGAGAAAGCGAGTCACTCTCCTGCAACATGAAGGATAAAAATTTACGTTGCCCTTCTCCTTCTGCTTCTGTAAATATTCATGTCTTCCCTTAACATCAGGGACTAGTTTAACGGAAACACCGAATACTGTAGGATTTGCAGCAGAATCATGGAAAATGACAGTTCTGATTGCCACACAATTACTGATTGCCTACATAAAACTGCGGGTAAAAAGTTGTGTGTCCAGGAAGAACTGCACATCAAAGACAGCAAGCTTTGATCTGCTAAAGATGCACATATAGGCAGTCTGGATGGTGTGTTTTTCAGCCATTTTTCAAGATGTCTTTAATATTCACTTGGTGCTTACATACAGGATCGTTGCAGTATAGCCCCTGCTGGGAGCTCTAAAGTAATCAGTAGAAATGCTCAAACTAACTGAACTGGTATGTCATAAGTTAACTGTAAGCACTGGTTCAACTATTTATATTACCCAGCCCAGTGAGACTGTCAGGAAAAGTTAGCAGCTCAGGCACAAAATTTAATTCCTCGCCCTGGGCAAGTAGGAGAGAACTTCCCAAGGCTAACGTAAAGGAAGCATAAAACACTGCTACAATAAACATACAGCTTCCCTGCCTCCATCATTGCCTTCCATGTGTTGGACCTGATGTGTGCAGATCCCTTACTGCTAATTATTCTGTTCCTTCTTTAACCCACAGAATGTGGCTTGTGCAAAGCAGTGATTAACTGTGGTGATTTCTTAGTAGGAAACATGCAAGGATGGGAGAATGAATATTGGAGAATGCACAGACAGGAAGAACGACAAAAGAGGCCGGACCTACAGCCTGGCTTCTTAAGATGAGAAGGAGCAAGGGGCGCTTTGTTTAAAAAAGGAAAAGAGAAAGAGGGCTGGGAACCAGAAATCAGCACTGGAGCTGAAAATCACAAAGCATCTTCCGTTTTCCAAGACTGGGAGTTACTGCCTTGTTTTTCTCTACTGGATTGTCTCAGTCTCTGGGGAAAAAAATCCCTTGTTTATAATGAGTGTTGCTAATCTGTATGTGCTTTAGGAATGAAAGGTAAGCAAAGTATCAGCCATAAATAAAACTGGGATGCTTGGTTGTGGGCAAAGAGAGAGACATATCTATTTCTTTCTTTTCCCTTTTGAGGTTCAAACACGCAAAATTTCAACTCTCTCTGCACTTCACAGAGGAAAGAGGTGCTAGAATTACTCTCTAGAAGTCTGTTTTTCTTAATTGAGTCTTTGGGATCTCTCTAGTTAAAGATGATTTGAAGAAGTGCATATTTACAGCTGTATTTAGACCTCGGTCTTGCAAATATGCGTGCTCAGATAATGTCACTGCCACCGCAGAGCTCCACTGAATCACGTGGGAAAAGGGACCCTTGCCACTGAGTTCAATGGAGCTCCAAGCAGGAGGCAGCTCCATTGGTTGGCAATCGGCTACTAATTGAGGAGTTGCTTAGAAAAGGGGTGAATTTCAAATTCACTAGGAAACAATTCCTTCTCATATCCCAGTTCTTGCAAGGAAGAACATAAAAAAAGGATTGTGAAGAATCAGGAGAGTAAGAAGCAGTAAGGGCTGGGCACTTTATAATGTAGATGCCACAGACAGGGGTAAAATTGATCAGGAATGTACATGTCTCTTCTTAGCAAGAAGAACCTACTTGGATTTTAGTGTGACCTTGTATTAGACTGACACAAAATCAGTTACTCTGGGCTGGAAAATGAATTCGGGAAGGGGAATAAAAGATTACTAAAACCTCACATTACCTTAATGGAATTTTTGAACCTGCACGGGTTATTTTCATTTTTGCAAAAATATATTACAAGGCACAGAGTGGCATTAATGCAATATCAGTCAAGAGTTGGCAATTTCAGGGATATGATTTTAGGCTGAAAGCCATTCTTATGTTTTCTTATAATACTGTTCCCTTTTCTATTAGTTATCTGTCAAAGAATAAAGTACGCAGACTAAAAGCTCTTACACAGTCTTGCATATGACAAGTTGTAGTACAAAGTTTGCAGCTTTAACATGCAGCTTGAATTTTAAATAGAGAAGTGTGGTCTAACACACTTGGTATATGGAGACGTGCCTAAGTTCTTTATCCTTTTCTTCTTTTCCTTAATGAAAAATTTCTGCTTTGAGTCAGGACAAGTTCAGTGCTGGAATACCTCCCCCCATCCCCTCACTCACACATGTACAGCTTTAACAATTTTGGGCTGTGTCCAAGCTAAAAATGATTATTCCAAAAGAAGTGGGTTTGACAAGAGTTGCGAAGCTCTAAGAGAGCGAGGACCATGGAAGCAGCTGGATTTCACACAGATATGGCAGCATTTACAGAAGCCATGAAAACATTCTACACGTAAGAAAATGAATCTTTCTTTTAATATAAGGGCAATGTCTCCAGTATATTGGGAAATGATGTGACCAAATAGGTGGTGTCATATGAACAATTTACTTGTGAGGTGAGCCAGACCGTGAACCAGCTGCTTACAGCCACACTCTTACTCTGGTTAGTCTGAGATGGCTGAAGTTACCTTTCTCCATAACACCAGACTAGCAGTAAGGTTTGCTATCCTGGAAGGCAGAATGGAAAACAGCATGGTGAAGAATGCTGGGATGTAACTGGCCGAAACAACCACCCATGGAGCCAAACTCCAAAACAACCACGCATGTTTTGAGACACATTCCTTTATATACTATATAAGTTTGAAGTATTTGCAGTATGCATTTGATAATTTACTCAAAGCATTGGAGTTGGTAGAGTTGCCGTATCTGAGGCCAGAACAGCTACTGGAAATTTTGAACTAGATAGAGTTACATGGGTCTACGTCCGAGTCTAGTTAGGGGAAAACAAACAACAACGTTTCTGTTAGCTTGGGAACCTCAGCATTTCTCCACAAATCAGAAGTCCAGTGTAGGGGCTGAAAGTTCTCCTGACAACTGTCACATAGCATTTTATGGTCAGAGGCCTACGCAAATTCTTTGTCCTAGAGAGGTAATTTTTTTCATACCTGCCAAAAAGCTAAAAGTAGGCAGTTACCCTAGAATAGAGAAGAGCTTGAAATGGATCTGTCCCCTGCCCCTTGCATAGGCCCAGAGAAGGATGTGGTATTGACTACTGCATCCCTCACATCTTCTCCAGCCATTTCTGGGAATTTGAGTGATATGATTACTATTGAGAAAGGAAATGGTAGGTACTCAATGAAAGTAAAAAGTTCAGCAATTTTACCAGCATGTTCTTAATGACAGTATAGCGAGCACATAAAGCTGTTGATTTTCCAGAGCTACATCCACGTCATTTTTCCCGGAGGCAGTGCAGTCAGTTAAGTGGCTGCATTTGTGCCTTCTGATAAAGGTCTGCTTCACATTTCTGCATAAAATCTCTTCAAAGAAAAGATGCTGCACAGAAGAAATAAACCTTTGAAAAAGTGCTTCATGTTTTCTAATCTCATTTTGCTAAAAGCTTGAAACCATGAATTGAGCCTGAGATAGAAAGAGAGTTATATCTAAACAAATGGTTAAGGTTTGACAAAGCTGTAAGGGGTTCAAAACAGGAAATTATGTGAATGTCACGCAAATATAACTACAGGCATCTCTACCTGCTCTACCCATGATGATTGTAACTAGGAACTTGTGAGAGTCAATTGCTCAAAGAACCTCACAGATTTTGAAGATGAGGTATGAGGAAGGTTGCTGCCTTCTAGAAAGGAATATTGATTTATTCCATCTTGTGAAGTTGATTTGTTCACATGATATGGTAACATAATATCAAAAAACTTTTTACATTTTGCTGAGGTACAAAAGCTCTTTTGGGTATTGATACAGTGGTATGGTACCTTCACTCATCCACAAAGAGTTTTTCCATGTGGAGCTGTGGAAACACTAGGGCTAATCTGGAGCTAAATACAATTCTGCACGGGCATAAACTACTGCTGGCATACAAAGATCTGACAGACTGTACAGATCACATTTCATATACACATCACAATTCTCTGATACGATATTGCCCATGTCATAAATGCCACAGACTGATACAAGGATTACAGCATGAATAACAAAAAGATTAATTGAACTTTCTTGCCCAAACTTGCTGACTCCAGCTGTGAAAATATAAATGAGGAACAACAACAAAAAAACCTACCTAAAATAACCCATCAAATTCTACATAGGCCAGGGAAAAGAGAAATGAACCTTGCTATAGACAAAAATGATGGATGGCATAAATTCTATCATCCTGACCTACTCAGAGAAATATCCTGATATAAACCCTCCTATACTTTGAATTCAGGAACTGTTCATTCTAATTCTATGCTTGGTACTGATGAGAGTTGTGGAAATGCTCTCAGGTGACAAGACAATAAATAAGATTTGGGCTAAAATTGGAAAATTACACCTAAACATCAAACCAAATAACTAGCAGGCAGACAATGCAGCATATGCAAAGCTGGAGTAATGCTTTTACGGAGATAAATAGTGTATAATAAACTTAAAGCTACACTAAGCAGTAATTTCTCCATATTAGCTAAATGATATGTACAAAGATTTGATTTATGCATGTGTCAACAAGTATGTGTTTGACTACAAGGGAATTGCTTGCCTCTACTTTCAAAGTCTGACCTAGCTCGTCTCTATCTCTGATTAAAAAAATCTAAAGTATACAGAGCTCAATAAGAAGATAAAACTGACCAGCTTTTTCTTACTATTTCAACGTAACAAGCTGTCTAAATGTATATACTGTTTAAATATTACAAGCAATGCAAATAGCAAATGGTAAAAAAGCTGGTCAGTTTTGCTAATAAAGGCCAGTAATAGAAATAAGAGTTGCTTTAAGGCCACTGTGTCTTACAAATACTCTTTGAAAGCATATGCCAGACTGCAAACTCTTGTTTATCCCAGACCACTCTCTTTGTGCAGTGTTGGCACTCAGGTGCATTTATGCAATAAGCCCAAAGATGGAGTGAGAGAGTCTTTTATAACACTTTAATAACTCAGTAGGAAAACTAACTTCAGTGAAGTAACCCTGAGTAGGTTTCAGTTAATAATGGGTTGTGTACTTCAGCAGCTGAATTAAACTTATTTATAAAACAAAAAAACCCTCAAAAATAAAGCCATCTGGGAGGTGTCTCACGTAAAATAGTTGGACAGAGCCCACAGAACTAAATGAAGAGGAAAAGACTTCTGTCAGCTAGCTCCCCTAAGAGAAAAAAAGGTGACCTCCAAGTCCACAAAGTTGCTGTCTCACCCATTGCTCGGGTACATACTGTGTCTGCTAGGGAGGGGTAGACAGTAGCAGCTACGACAGCTGGAATTTACCAGACCCCATACGAGTGGAACACAGTACCTCTGGCAAAAAAATTTATTTGTCCTACTCTACTCGGACCTATCTTTAAACTCTGGGACAGCCGAGCTTATTTGGAGTGAAACAAGTTTAGGAGACCACATAGGAGTTCTAAATAGCAGAACTAAATAGTCTCTGGCAAGGGTACAGTCCTACGTCCCGGGGGCACTTGGAGCAGCAGAGGTCCAGCTGGAAAAGGATGTACTTTACAGCCCTACCTTCAAAACCTTAGCAAGCAAATGCTTCATTAATTTCCAAGCACTTGTATTAGGCTTTATCGCTATTAAAATCCTGGTGCTGAGCCCCAGTGGTAGCTCAGACACCAAAAGTCTGTGAGATACAAGGTTTGTCCTCTCCTGAAACACTAGAAATGTTACAGGCTGTACTGTAGTTCCTGACTCAATTTGAGCTGTAGCTATCAACATATCATGTGTTACCAGTGTTATTCCTGGCTATTGGTAAGACTAATCCAGGTAACTCCATTTATGTCTCACAGTATGCACGCTGTATGCTTCAGCAAAACAGCCAAAGAAATCTCCATCACCAAACCCAGCAACATTCCCCCTTCCCAACATCTGATTTAATTAGCTGAGATGAAACATTTCTTTACCTTCCAGGGGCATCTCCCTTTTCATCAAACCAAACTTCTTCTCCAGAAACACCGATGAATGAGGATTTGAGGAGGAACTCCAAGAGCTTGCTGCCATCAATTGGCTTCATAGCATCACATAGCCCAACATGTCCAGGGCAAAGGGAATGATGCATATTTTGGAGCCCATGAGCCATAGCATATATAGCATTGATGACAAATCCCATTTTACTGTCCTGCACATAGTTTTCTTCTAGGCTTTCATTGCCTAAAATAGTAAGAAAAAAGTGTTGTTATAAACAAAGATGATATAACATGAATATATGAAAAAACTGTGAGAGAGAGTTTTCTTATTTCTGTTTTAAAGCTTTAGAAGCAGAAATGAGGTGCCAGCCAGTGATTTTAATTAAATAAAAAAAAAGACCAAACCACTTTTTTTTTCAGAAATCTTTAATTCATTGGAAGTGAAATGCCTCCTGAGAAAGCACCAGTTTAATCAAATTGTCAGCTTTGATTTGTTCTTTTTGGCATTTTTGCTTGTCATCCCCCAATGTTATTTATGCTAAGAAGGGTTAAACAGCTCAGCATCATAAAGATACATTTCAGCTAGAACGATTTTTTAAAGCAATTTGCTTGTAAATTGAGTTTTTGTCACACTTGAAGATTTTTTTTTTGAAATTTCATGGTTTTAAGGGCCAAGATAGCAATGTCCCTTTCAGTGTTAATAAGCAAACAACCTAAATCAGCATCACTTCTCAAGTTATCAAAAATAATCATTTTAGCTAAAAGTCGTAGTGGGTATGCCAGTTTGGGATTGCTACAGAAAGTCAAATGAAGTTCATAACACTAAAGGACTTTTTATGTAACTGCGGCTTAGAAGATCCTGTATGAGCAGACATTGAAGTCTCTGTCCACTGAGCAGAAACAACGTGGCAGTGAAAGTTTTCTCCACATGTAGGTTTTAGCTCTGATCTGCTGATGTGCAGGCACTGCCACAGGGTACCATTTGTGGTTGCATTTCACATCAGACCCCGCTGGGTCCTGGGCCGTTCCCCCGCTTCCCGTCACAAGCTGCTGAATGCTGTCGGTAACGACCCCGGGTCACGGCGGACCTGTGCTGCACGGGTCCTGAGGGAACTGGAAGTAAGAAACCTCCCTGTTTTGTTTCGTTCTCCCTGAGTCATTTTATCGCAATATGCTCCAAACTGCAAGATGCTTTTATCTGTAGACCTCCCACATTACTCGGTGTTTAACAGGCATTTGCAATCCAGTCTCTGTAACTTTGTCTAAGTAACACCTTGTCTACGCTAGGGAAGTAGGATGTGTGAGAGACTAGGTGTTAACTGACACTTCTCAAATCCAGGTTGGAGAAGATAGTTGTCATTTTAATATGAAGAAAAGCGGAAAATCTACAAGTTCACTGAAACTTTCACGTTAAAAAATAGTTCCTTCCCCTGATGTAGATATGATATGGCTTTCAAATCAAATCATGAAGACCGTCCTTACACTTATCCTTGGAAAAGGCTCTGATTTGGTAGGTCTTCCCATCTCGTTTGCCCTACAACTCAGAAATATCAACTGGGGGTTCATTAGGATAGCAGAGACCCCAAAGACAAGTATGTGTAGGTTTCTTTCTCTGGGTCTTCCTCGCACAGGACATTCATTGCAACTGGGCAAGAAAGTCTTGCTTCAGTAACTGTTTTCCAGATAAGCTGAACATAACAAAAATTGTGATGGTGAATTAAAAAAGCCTTGTGAAAGTAGCATAATCTGACTGAATGAGTTCATGTGCTCCTCTCACTGCCATACATTCACCACCGGCACCACCAAGCAAGGAGCAGCTGGAGAAATGTTTCCCAGAGGCAACATATCTGCCACTTTCTTTGCAGAAGGTTCATAGTTCCCATTCAAATCGCCTGAAACCGACGCCATTCAGATCCATGTTCAGAAACAGAGAAAGAATAGAAACCTTACATGTAAGCTGACAGAATATTTACCCAGGGAAGCAACGAGTATGCCACTACATGTACCCTCACTTACGTACTGCATATAGTACATACGGCATGGTCTAGACATCTGTTGCCTGAATACATTAATGTGTGGTCTCTCTCTAGGTGTGTTTTATCTGCTGATTAGTCCCTTAGGATTAACACACTGTGAATTTATCACTGATTCTGCTCTCTTGTAGATAGAAAAAGAATGTGTTCTCCATCCCTAAGTGAAAGAGAGGAGAAAGGCCCACTCACTATCTATCAATAACTATCACTGTTTTCTACCTGAGATTTTATCTCAGATACCTCATTAATTTCTCAATTAGTTAAAAAAAAAGGAACATAAACATCAGTAACGCTTGCAGGAGATAATGATAGCATCCATATGCGTTTCCTGAGGCAAGCATTCATGTGGCTGCTGGAGGTAGAAAACTAAATGTAACAGAACTTGCCAACATTTTGAAAAGAGGCCATTTCCCTCAAGTATGTGTTAACTCAGCAAAGCATGCATTTGGTTTCTCATATTTCAATATAATATGCATACCTCCGAAGAGTATAAATATTTGATGGTGGGAGGATTTGGTTTTGACTAATTAGGAATAAACATCTAGCTCACGTTGAGGCTCCAAGCATATAGTCCCACGTTGCAGAGGTGACTGCTTTAACATTACCTATAGAAATAATTGCACTGTAGTGGAAAGCAACATGTGAAGCATCATATGGTAATGAACTTTCTACAGATCAGTAAGATAAACATCCCTATGTGTAAATAAGAAATTTTCTAGTAAATCCAGTGTGAGAAGTCATGCTTTACCTAAACTTAACTTCCTGCAGTCAAAATCCATTTTATTTCATTTTCATCATTATAAGTTATGGATATATTGATGCATTTGAGCTTGTAAAAATTCACTTATGACAATCAGTAAGAAATGTGTGGGTTTTTAAAACAAATTAAATAATGTAATTATGTTCAACCAGAGACAAAACAGAGGCAATCAATGTTAAGTTTTCACAGGACAGCTTTTCAATAAATGCAAGAACTATGTTATGTTTGTTATTGGGCTTCTCTGTAAAGTTGTATTTTTCCTCAGCGGGTCTTTGAAATGTAACAAAGGGCAAAGCAGAACTCTGGACTTTGAAACTTTTATTTTTCCTCCCTCTCTCATCCTTTGGAAAAAATACCATTGATCTACAAAGACTAATTTGAACACTAGAGTTTATTAACACTGAAAATAGAGAAGTATTTTGTTAGCTTTCTTTTTTTTTTTTTTATTTTAGGGACCTTAGCTTTCACTAAGCAAAGAAAAATTGTAAGCCATGTGAGTACTGGATTAATTGCAGTCACTCAAATTAGGTCGTTACTTTTTTGAATGACCTTGAAGAATTCAGGTGTCCTAAATTTCATACTTACTTATTTTTGTATTGGATGCAATGCAAATCTTCATTTAATAATTTCATTTTAACAGTTCCTCAACAGTTTGGGCCATTTTTTTCTTATTACACTTTTGGTTTTAGTCTTTGTTTCTGTCAGCCAATCTTAAAGCTGAAAAAAGAGGAGGGTATATACACACATATACTACTGAAACAAAACACCAAACAAAAAAACCCCCAAGCACCACACTCTGGCTGCACACAACTGAAAAATACTCCCAATACTGCTAAAACTAATACCTAAGTGGAGAGGGATGGAAGACAGAACAGACCAAAATTTCATGAAACTGACTCTGAGTCTTTCCTTTTACCGTAATGTGCCTCAAATCTAATATTAGCTTCAGCTAGGTACTTAGAAGGACCGGAATGTAAAGAAACCATGAATTTAGTCTAGTGCCTTTGCTGTGAAGTCAGTGTGGGGCTAACAGTGTTTCCGAGAGCAGAGCAGGTACCCGTGCAAATCCCACTTGGCAAACTGAAATTAAGAAAAACTATATTATCAGAATTATGGCTAGAAATGAGTTAACTTTCATGTATAAAGTAAAGATAGGAAAAGTCTATGTTAATATTCAATAAGAAACTAACTACAAAGGATTACTCGTTTGCAGTCCTCAGAAAGGCTAGGGCAGGAAGGGATTTGGGATGGAAAGAAATGTAAAAACATTTTGGTTGGGGAATCTGATCAATACCTAGCCAGTTGGTAAATTTTGAACAAACACACACAGTCTGTTCACAAATGACTTTTGGCTAGAATAAAAAGCCAAAATCTGTTGAATAAAATTGTTATAAATGAAAATGTTTCATCTGGAATAGGCAGATAGTTTTATGGTTTGTTACTAACTGTCATTTGCTGAATATCCAAGGTCACATAATAAGAGATTTTGTTGTCTTGATCCAGTTAACAACTATTATGAGAGCTATTATCGTTTCTGGTGGTTCTGACAGAGGTCTGAAGGTCTTAGAAATTGTATATACTGCCTTCTTTATTTGTAGTGGTCCTTCCCAGGACTAACACGCTTCGTGGGTAGGCCATATGGGATTTTAGCTTTGTTGCAAGTTACAACATGGTGATGGGTTACATTCAATATGAGTACTCATTTAAGCAAAAAAATTATTCTGGAAGAACAAACGGGCCTAAATTTCACTGGGAAGATGAGATAAAAGATGAGATGACTTGGGCTGCGTGTGTAACAACTTGGCACAAAGGCATGCCAAAGAGTAAAGAGGGCTCCCCCAGAAAATTCCAGGTGGCAGAGCAGGGCTTACACCATGAACTGGTAAAGCAGTACCCAGGCTTGCAGCAAATGTCCATATGCATTGGAGAAATCGTGGAGGCAGTTTTCTCGTGCTCTCCTTCAGTCCCAACATACACCGCCTTAACCACAGGGTAGTCAAACACTGGAACAGGCTTCCTAGAGAGGTGGTCGATGCCCCATGCCTGTCAGTGTTTAGGAGGCATTTGGACAATGCCTTTAACAACATGCTTTAACTTTTGGTGAAACCTGAAGTGGTCAGGCAGTTGGACTAGA